GGGGGGGGGGGGGGGGGCTGTGCGATTATGTCTTACCCCAGCCATTGTGAGGATGCGACTGATGGTCTTGGTGATGATCAGTGAGGTCTTGGCACGAGTCACCGCCACGTACAGCAGGTTCCACTCATCGTCAGGAATCTTGTCTGAGCAAGGAAGAGGAGTATTCAAATATTTATCACTTTAGACTGCTTTCAAAGATAACTACCAACAAACAGCAGGCAATGAGCAGTCGGACACAGAATACGGTTCCTCCGGTATAGGATGGGAGAAGAGTGCCTAGCAAAAAGCTACAAAGTAAAATGATGTGTAAAAAAGGAAAGATAGGTTTGTCCGAAGAAACACACCGAAACGGAAGTCAGGATTGTAGCGCAGGTTGTGACTTGAAGCGGGAACCTTGGTAAAGTCATCACAGACCATCACAGTGTCAAACTCCAAACCTTTAGCCTTGTGGACTGTCCCCACTATGAAGTCTGGAATAAAACAGCAAACATCAGTAACAACCTACGACTGAGTCGAGAACATTATATAGTGGAAAGCCAAATTATTCCACACTAGGAACTACAATTTCAAAAACATGAATGCATGAATCTGAAGAAACGTTCCTGTTCCTGGGAAAACATAGTTACTTAAATTGTATAATATTGTGTAATATGAGCTGGCTGTAAGTGATCTGAAGTGATTCATACTTTAAAGACGGTGATTCATTGTCCTAGACATGAGTGTTTGGACGTCGTACAATCATAACTTTTAAAGCCATCCATTAGCTTCCTTTTTTCAGTGTCATTTGCTTCTTTTTGCTTCTTTCTTTCACTGATAACAGCATACTCGACACACATTAGCAAATGGTATATTCACAAAGTAACACTATTACTTTAAAAAGTTGATTCTAAATGATGTTCATTTATTTCATCTTTCCTTTATGTTTGTCAAATCTGTGCTATATGGGAGGTAATATTTTATATGGGAGGTAATATTTTAACGTGTTCCTTTGTAAGACAAATATTTTGGTACATTTATGCAATCAGTTTAAGAATGTCTTGCATACCTGCTTTGTTAAAGTCACATTCAAAGCAGTTTTCCAGGCGTGTCACCAGTTCGGGGATGCGCTTTCCGTATCTTTCAACAATGCTGAGTTTGACATCCAGCTCCTTGTCCTCCGTCTGTGAGACGTAATTCTTTAGAGCCGAGAAGGGGTTTGGATTTCTCTTAGCAAACAAGCGAATAAAAGGGTCCCTGATGACTGAACGGAGAGCAAATTCAACATTATGTTAAAGGCTTACGTTTTAAGGAAATAACACACAGGGTAAATATGTGTGCATTTGTATGAATCTCACATTTTGTTAGTCGGCCCGACCCTTTGGTTTCCTCTTCTGTCCTTTGCATCAGGTGCCAGACGTCCAGGATCTTTTTCAGACCGATACTTTGGACACCCTGAATTAAAAGGAAGACTTTTAAATGCTTCACGTTATAATAATTAATGTTATTTACTTTTGCCAATGCCTCATTGTAAATTCTAATTGTGACTTTTTATTCTAAAACTTCATATCAGGGTGGAAATCCATTGGACAATAAAAGGAAGCACCTCTTATTAAATATATTCTATATACACACACTCACTCCTATGAAGTGGATCCGGCAGTGCAGGTTGGCGTCAGTGAGCCGGACAGCCTCGCTGAACACACTGAGATTGCATCTCGACAAGATGGCCGTCTTCCCCCGACACTGACTGACACCTGTCCTCATAGCTGCTCTAAAATTGTCTGCGGTCTCGTCACACACGCCGCCTATACAATGGACAATACAATACAATCAACTTCTAAGGCTTGACACCATGTGTATTTTGAAGAACCGTACGTGTATCTCTAAGCAGACAACATATGAAAAAGAAACAGTTGTGGTATTTACCTTTTTGCTTTCCTCCCACTAGAATCTTCTGCACACTCTTGCACACTTTGAGGATTGTGGCACCCACATAGCTGATCTCAGCACCGAACCGAAAGCTCTGGAAAAGACAGAGTTCCTTTTTCACCGAACTGCTGAGAGTTTGTAGATGGCATGTATAGTTCCACACACTTTTTCCTTTTCTTTTTTCTACGTGGGATGAAAATGGTTTGAGTTTTGGCCACACAGTTCCAATAATGGGTCTTATAAGCAGGAAGCGAGTTAGCTATACTTGAGCCTGGCCCCATTATTTACATTTTGGTGTATGTACATTCTAGTCCGACTAATTTATGGCTTGCCTCAACATTTTTCATCTCACTCCATGGGCAGAAAAAGGTGGTGTTGTGGATTAAATGTAGATCACCCTAATCCTGAATCTAATTGTTGCTGTGATTATTACTTCTATTTAACAGTAGTAGTTGTGCTATGTATTATTCATGGTTCCTGTGATGTGAAGCAACAGTGCTGCAATAAAACAAGCAAAATGTCTAATGTGTACAGAGCTGTGATGAATTACGTATTGCTTTTGAAAAATATATTTGTTGGAGTGATATTGTTGAGCATTCCCAGAAGCCATGAATTTCGTAATTGCTACTAAAAGCCTACTTGGATTTGAAAGGAGGCACAGCATAAATCTTATTCCACTGGATAAAAAAAATTAACTGCTTCTGTGCAATCGTTGCCTCTATTTGAGTGTGTATTTGCATATACCTGTGTCAGGTAGAAAATGTGTGTGTGGTCCACGATGTTGAGGGCATTGACAGCTCCTCTGAAGGTGTAGATCTGCTGATGAGGATCCCCAACCAGGATTTTCCCACATTGCTGAGACAGAAGCACATCCATGATGGCTGGGAGGGAGGGAAGGATAGAAGACGCCATCACAAAGTTAAGCAAAATGATCACAATTGTACTTTTCCACTCTCCTTGAGGACTGTGTTACAGTTACATCATCCTTACCAGGAGTGCAGTCCTGGGCTTCATCGATGAAGAGGACGTCGTATTGGTCCGACAACTGGGGCTTCGGGATTTGGAGTTGCCATAGCTTCAGGTAACCTGGGAATGAAACGTTCCGTTGACCACCTGTGCAGCATTGCTTTTAATACAAGAATGACTCATTCAGTCACTGCTGACGTACCGTCGTGGGTCATGTAGTAGGCCTGTTGTTTTGTCTCATTGAGATCCTTCATTTTGTTCCAGATGGTCTGTGCATCATGGACAAAAAACTAGGATTCCCCCCCCCAAAAAAAGACATCCATTTTAGATGACTTTGCAGTGCTCATGCTTTTATTATTTATACACACTGAAGGTATGCAGTGTGTCACCTGTATACATTACTGTGTTCGTACCGGTTTTTCACTTTCGCATATATGCTTCTGGCGGTCCTTCTTGGTTATGTGGATGCTGGGGACATGGCTGGTAGTAATAGTCTCGTCTGCTGAAGCCATGAAAGCCTCGAGAGTTGTGGCCACCAGTTTGGCTTTGACAAAGCCACCGCGGCCTTCGGGCAGAACAGAGTTGAGGGTGAATGGGCTCAGGTTGAAGGTTAGCTTCTTATGAATTTGGTAGCTGCCACGGGGGAGACGACAGAAAAGCAATAAGGGATGTGGTTTTAAAATGGAAAAACAGCACAAAACAATATTCTACAAACACAGGGCATGGGAAAGACTTTCAGACATGATGTTCTGGGCTAGGGAGAGGCATATGTCCACAAAATGTGTGTGTCAGGCTGTTGTATGGATGTGATTGATTATTAGAATATGCATAATATTTGAGGACTCACCTCGGATAAATACATAGTAAGTGAGAGAGAAAAGCCAGAGAAATGGCTGAATGCCACCACTGTCAACAGTGACTCAAATTAGGTTAAACTTTTGTGTGCTATCACACGTCAATGATAAAATCTTTAAACTCACTTGAATAATGAGTCTCCTTTTTCCAGGGTTTTGACTCACGTCTGAAATGTCTTCTAGCTAACTGATTCAGTTATAATGGCTATCGACTGAGTCAGCAATGTGGTATATTATACGTAATGGAAAATGACTTCAGTTCAGTTATGTTAACTATGTTATGTAATTGTGAAAACAATTTTACTTACATCATTAATGCATTTTAATTAGTGTCAGTTTCAAGTTTAAATTGTCTAGTTATCACTTTCCGAGTCCAACCCTGAATAATGAGTTGATATAATATCCAATTGATTCGGGGGGCCCAGATAGCCGTCCTGGTAGAGCAGGCACCGTGTACCAAGGCTGAGGTCTTGCTACGCTCTTGTCACGTTAAAAGCGGTAATGGAAATCTCCACATCACGGTTTTCCCCTGTCTGCCCAAAATGCTAATAGAAAACCCCCATTAGGTTCTCACCTCCTCCCAACGTCGCTGAAGGCCAATGAGTGGACAGTCTTGCAGTCCACGTTGCTGGGGAAGCGGCGCTGCGCCTCGCTGGCCACTGACTTGTTGAAGGCCACATACAGGAAGCGGAGGTGTGGCCGCTGCTCGGCGTACTTCACCAACGTGGTCGTCTTGCCTGTACCTGTGTCACACAGTACGGACCTTTCAGTTATGACACTATGAGCCCTGATCTGTAAGGCCGGCATACATGGCAACACTGATAAAACTGATTATTGACCTTTAAAATGTACAGGCTGCCTACAAGTTTCAAAATTAAAAACACTTTTTTTTCCTTTTTTTTAAATTGTAACATGCAATGACGGAGGACTGAGAAGAGTTTTAAAAGAAACTCCGCAAACTCACATTTTATTACTAAACATTTTCTTCATTTCAACTTCAGAGCTGACATGCAACCCATACAAACTTGTCATTACCAAGAATGTATAAACCCTCTTGAAAAGAAATATCTAGAGAAAGAATGGCCCCTGGTGGTGTGTCAGACACTTCACATTTAAACTAGAATTACTATGACACACATCCACTGCATGTGGTGGAGGGCTACTGCAGAGGGCTGAAACTGTAATTCTGTGTTTTTTACATTCAAATGTTAATGCTGTGGGTCTGAGCTGAGATAAATAATGATAATAATGAAAAACTTACACTGACATTTGGGATTTCCTTTTACTTAGTCTTTTACTGTACCTGCAAATGCCACAATTTTGACCACCTGGTCTGGCTGGATGTTGTGGCTGAGAATCTGCTGCTGTTCACGTGTGAGATGAATCTGAGGCTGACTAGCAGAAACATACACGAACACACACAATGACTGCTAGAAATTAAGAGTGATAAACAAAGCAAGCTGTACTCATTTCTCTTTGGTCCTCACCTGCTCTGACCGGAGCTGACACAAAAGGGGCCATTCTCCATTAGGTGAAGTACGTAGTAGATGTTGTAATGCAACCTGGAGAGAGCGAATGGAAAAGAATTTCAGGGAGGCTTACGAGAATAATGTAGCAATTTAAGGGGCTGACACTTGCAGCTCTGACCTGTTACTAATCCGGATGTTGCTCCTCTCTAAGGCGAGTAACATCGTGGCCATGTGGCTGAGGTACTCTGTGATGGCGGTGTGTGACATGCAGCCGGTGAGCAGAGACACCAAGGCCTGCACGTCATCAACGCTCTCGCTTAGGATCAGTATGACAGCCATTGCAGCGTACGGGTTGGGACCCTGGAGAACGGACATGAATGGTATGAAAACTTTCCGTTACATTCCATAGTGACCATTTTCTCCATGGTGTTACCAGGGGGCCTTTGTGTATTTGAGTCATACCTCCATGCCCAGGTTAAAGCACTTCTGAATGACAGGAATACGTAATTTCACAGAGGCGTCGGCTTGAGGGAAAAGCCGATGTTTCTTAACACACTTCAAAACGTCCTCTGTCCTCGCCCGCTCTCCGACCTTATGCTGGGCCATTAAACTGACCAAAACAAACACAGACAAGATAATTACCACAGTGAACATTTAAAGCCATCACATACTTTCACTGGGAATACTAGGCGCTGTAAGCTTTAAGGGGTAGCTGTGGCTCAGGAGGTAGAGCAGGTTGTCCACTAATCAGAAGATTGGCTCCTCCCGCCAGGGATCTAACCGCAAAATCACTTGAGTTGTCACAGCTTTACATTTGATCAAACTACTGAGCAGCTTTATGTGGTTAGAACTGGTTACCGAAGTCTGGCCTTCTGCTTTGGAGGTTTTAATGTCTCTTTGGCATTTATCTGTAATTGGCACACACAAAAAAAGGGATGTTTTTGACCGTTCTCCGTGCAGTCAACTCCCAGCCTCCTCTTCATCCACAGTCGGTATAATTTACAGTCAGAGGAGCTTGACACGCTAATAGAAAACTGTGATGAACAAGCTGAAAATGCTAATTGTATGGAAGGGTTGAGGAGTCTATGAGACTGAGACCAACCAGGAGTGCCTGTCTGCAGTGAGTGTTCACATCAGCAGCAAGAGGAGGATGACCCCACAGTTTACACCCTTTCTAAACTTCAGGGCTTTACGTAAACACTGAAGAGTCCAAGAGTACGTTCAATTATTCAAATGGAATTTGTAACGTATACATCTCAATAAGGAGATCATGTATTATTTAGTCTACTTTTTTTTTGCTTAATGAGTATTATAAACAGTTACTATAAAAATATGCTTTCTTTATTCTAAGGATGGTGAAGGCTCTCTACACATTGGTGTTGTATTTGAAAAAGTATAAACATATATTTTACACCCTTCACATTTGTAAGATGAATGTTTTTGTATCAGCCACAGCAACAAACAGACAAATACGGTGATGGTGAGATAGTGAATCTCTAATACAAACATTAGACAGCCTCTATATGTTGTTAGAGAAATGTCCATACTTACACAACAAGCTGCCGTATGCTGTGCTGCATTTGACCCTTTATATGACTCTCCCTCAGGATGTTGAAGATCTCCAACACTGTATCCTTCTCCCTCATCATGTAGCGGTAGTACTGTTTCTTGAAGGGAACAAACTGCACAATGGAACACAAACATGGCAACTATGTTATTTGAGGAGCTTCGTTTATTAAGAACTGACCGTAACGGTGAAGTCCATGTGCAAGAGGATAATAAAATTCAACATTAGGCCCCACACCCTGCTGCGCATATACAGTACAATATCATACAAAGCTGTGGTTTTGTTTAACCTTGGTGTCCTGGACGATGTTCCTCCAGCGATGGCACACAAGGCTGACATTACGGTAGAGGTCCTGGGCAGGTAGGAGGCACAGTACCTGCCTCAGCACCTCCTCTGGAAGGTCATCTATGCAGCCCTGAGGCTTCAGCAGGACCTTGCTGCTGCCCAGGAGCCCATAGTGGGCGTCAGGGAGGGCCTCCACCTGCTCTTCAAACTCATCGTCTCCAAACATCTCTGCTGTCATTCCCTCCAGATAATCCACCACCTCATGCTGCTTCGCCACAGGCTCCGTCAGCATCTCTGCCGCTAACATGCTCACATCGTCAACCTCCTCCTCTTCAAGTTCTTGTGCCATTGCAGCAGCTAATAGGTCGACATCGTCCTCCTCCTCCTCGTCCACAGCCGCCGGCTCTTTTTTGGGAAAAAGCGTCCTGTTAGAAAGGCTCGTGCTACGCTCTCCATTGAGTCCATCTGTGCGTGTGGAAGAACAGGGCCGGGGGGATTTGTGCGGACTGGAGCTGATGACTCCCGTCACAGAGAAGAAGTGGTTGATGCCCTTCTGTTGCCCTGCAGGGCTTCCTGTGGCAGATGCTGATGGTATGAAGAGGGAGAGAGAAGATTCAGAGTCCGACATAAATTTGATGAAACACGGGCTAGTGAGAACTTCCACTGGACAAAAGAGTAACTACATATTTTCATGCACAGATGTTGTCCTGTCTGTGTTCAGTGTTACTTTGAGTGCACTCAAAAAAAAAAGTTTGTAACAGAAGGTTTAAAGCAGATTACCACACTTCCGTCGCTTGGTGGGTGTCCTGGGGTAAAGCCCCCGGTAGGGGTTGCTCTGCCCATGGTGGACAGTGTGGGGGTGGGTCAGGGCATCACTACCCTCTGTACTTTGTCCCAGTTCATCGCACTCTGCTGCATTCAGGTGCCTCCTTTTGACCTTCCCTAGGAAACCACACAACATTGACAGCCATGTCAGCACAACACAAACTAGTGTATTGGTATTGTCCTCTCGCAACCGTAGCCACTCTTTAGTTTCCCTATCTACAATGATATGTACAGTGATCCGTCTTTAAAGTGCTAGGGTTAAACAAACATGCCAGTATCATTTTTACTCAACACAATTTATCTTCAAACATTTTAAGAAGGTGGTTTAGAGTCCCATTGTAGGCCAAATGTGTGTGCACCCCGTCGAGAACAGAGCGGATCAGGAAAACAACAAATGAGTTATTTTATGGCTTTAAAAATGATCAACTTTAACGTTTGTGGGTCACAGTTTAGTGTTACCGTCCTTTACCACAACTCATGTCGGACGCAGAAGTCAGCACATATTCGTTAGCCAACTTTATTATAACGTTATGGTTAAAAAGTATGCAGGAGTTAGTTATTTTAACCTCCCGCTGCTGACACACTGACACACACACACA